CAGTGGAGCTTCTGCTGGGTCAGCCAGTATAAAGAAGGTGACAAGATTCCAGTGTGCAAACACAACCAGCTCCCAGCTACTGTGTGTACCCCCAAATTTATTCAGTTGCTGGTCTGTCTCAATTTGTGTTGCCTTGATACCCAAGCTAGAGCAGTAAAACTCTCTTTCAATTATCAATGGCCAAAGTAAAACAGAAACATTTCAAAGGAAGTTATTGATCTACCAGCCCATAGGCGTTATAAGAAAGAACAGCACAGAAAACATTCAAATGGTAGTATGCCACCTGCTTGAGCTGTACAGCAGCTCTTTTAACTGCACAGTGACTTTCTGCTCTCTATTCCCCACCTACTCCTATTTCATGCAGTACTTTTTATACTGTATTTCAGCATACAGGTTAGGGTCTCCTTCTGAAACACTGCAGTCTTAAGAGGAACAACTTAGCAAATCCTACAGTTCTCTCCTACATTCTTATTATCTTTTGAGTGATGGATAAATCAAGAGAGATTTGATACTCCATATGGTATAACAAAACAGGCTTGTGATAGATCCAAAACAGGAATCCCAAATCTTGGAGAGAAGCCTATAGCAAAACACTGCCCATTCACCCTCTTTCTTTGCTGAAAGCCATCTTGCCCCTGCTTTTCTCACAACAGCTATGAAGCAATGAACTCCTAACACTTAACCCAACTAGCAGGCACTCAGCTGCAGTGCTGTACACTGCTCCAAACTGAAACAATATCTATGAGGCAATAATGTGATATATATCTGGAGAACACAATAAGGAAGTGAGGTCACTTCCATGTCTCTGGAGATATCTGCAACTAATATTCACTGTTCCTGTATTGACAACAGCTGACGTATGAACATTTGTGTTTTATAATACTTACTCTTGAATTGCACTGGCTTGTCCATACACTTTTTTGGACAGAAACAAGGCAATTGCCAGCACTCCCTGACTGAACTCGTTTTGCTGACATGCATGGTAGTGAAGTGGCAATAGGAATAATTGGAGGGTAACAGTGACAGCATTGCTGCACAAACTCAAGATGAGCCTAAGCAGAGAACAATATGCAGATAAGCTACACCCAGTTCTATAACTCAGGCTAAAGTTATTGCTTTCAAAGGGAAGTCATGATCTGAAGTTGAAATGAGAACTGATCAAAAGCCTATCCTGCATTTTTCATACAAACACATTAACACAGACAAAAAGCTCTCAGCTACAGGCTAGCTCTGTTAAAGCTCTGAAAGTAGTTAAAAGACAAACATAAGTAATAATTAAATATAACATGCTCAGTCTCAATTTAATTTAAAGTGCCACAGCTCCAAAAGAAATAAGGATTAAGTACAAACCAGATCACAGAATTTGCCAAGAATTTCCCACAATAATTCAGCAAGATAGCCCATGGAAAAGAAAGGATTTAACTTTTCTCTCTGCCTCACCTCCATAGACCCTTTGCCTCTGAATCCTGAAAACAAAAACCTTCCCAAAAGAACAGGGTTTGTGCAGGAAATAAGGACTTATAATCACTTCCAGAACCCAGGCTAAGCAGACAGAAAAGATACCCAATCATCATCATTAGCTCCTTCATCAGCCAGTCTGATAAGGAAAGAGCTCAGCTGCAAGACATAAAAGCAAATGGCTGAGCTGTGTTACGTACGGAATTATGTACAGCTAGTTTTAGCTCTCTGCAGCTGGTTTGCTTTCTGTGATTAACCCCCCCCCCCAAAAAAAAAATCCAAACCAAAACACAAACCCAACAAAAACCCCACAAAATGTAGACAGAAAGGGGGAGGTTTAAAAATCTTCTCAGCTGACAGTAATAGGGAAAAAAGTGAAGAGAAACTTACATCCTTCCCAGTATGGGAAGGTTCCTGTGGTTATTTGTTACTTACCCTAATCGCTGGTAAAACATGTAACAAGGGAGGGACTAGACCTCACAGCTGCCCCATCTTTGTGCCATGCCTGATAGATGGACAGAGGGCTCCCAGGGTTAAGAGCAGATAACTCCATTCCTAGCCAAAAAGATCCTATTCCTAAACATCTCTGAACACAGAAAAGCTCAATCACCCTTATCTTTTGAAAGTCCAAAGCTAAGGCCTTATGGGGCCTCATTCCTGGAGCTTGATAAGTCAGTTTGCAGCTTAGCTTGACACAGTGCCAAAACAGGCAGAGAAGACCAGTTATCACCCCTGTAGCAGGCATCACTGTGACCTAATCGGCATTTTGGGTAACTTCAGGTGCCTCACTCAAGTAATGGTCACAGAGTGCTCTCAGGAAGCACTGCTCACGAGAGGCATTGTGTACGGCACTGCCGCACCACCTGAGACCTGCTAAGAGTGCAGAATAACTTCTACTGGGGATGCTGCTGGGGTAATACTGACTGTGTCTCCCTTGTGTGGTACATAGCACTGTAATACACATTCCATGCAGTTCAAATGGTCCCAGAGAGGCGGCCTGATTTTAACCTGCAGCCAGCTCAAATGCACACACCTCATGAGCTTTCCCTACTGTGATATGATCACTTTCTTAAATAACAGAATTTATTTTACTCATGCGGGTGATCTATCAAAATAATACATATTTATTGCAAAAGAAGCTAAGTGAAGCTATGTTTTCAGCCAGTCTCTCTGGATAATGTGGGAACCCACCACGCTTGCCTATACTTCACCTTCTTCTACTGTGTCACTTGTTTTCTGGATCCTGTTCCCTTTTATAACCTCCCCAGCCATCTGCTTGTTATCAAACATATTAATGCAGAGAGCAGTTACATAGTAGACTTTGCTTGTTTTCTTTTTTCATAGTCAGGAAGTTGAGGGTTTGAATCCCAGGGAAAGCAACTGAAAATATTCACTGAAGGGAAGGTATTTTGTCAGGTGGGACAGTGATGGAGAACATGAGGAGCAGAGCAGAAGAGTGAAGTGGGAGGTTGCAAACAGGCCAAAGCTGTTATCTGGCCATGCCAGGACTGGCACAAAACCATGTTCACTTGCAAGTTCTTCCCAGTGCCCGCTGAAAGGTTGTCTGGAGCATAAACAAGGGCTAAGTTATTCCAATCAAGTGAAAAATAACTGTGTTGTTTGGAAACATACAGAAGAGAATGGTTACGCAATTCTGTTCCATTCATAGGGCTTTCTTCCTCCATTACACTCATTTCCATACTTAAAGCACTGGAATCAAACCCACACCGCCGCCTGTTTCGTGCCCCCCGTGGAACACAGTGGGGTCACGGCCCCTGCCCGTGCTGTTCGCAGCTCCGCACTTCATCGCCCCTCTCCGTGCCGTGTGGAGGTTCCACGCGCGCAGGCGCGACGTCTCAACCCCGGCCCGTTAAACAGCTGCTTGAAGGCGCGGCCTCATTTTAGGCCCCATGGGAGCCTCCGTTGGTCTCTCCCCAACTAGCCCCAGAAGGGGCTGAAGCCCCCGGCCCTTCGCCGCGGTACTCACGGGCAGGGCACGGCGGGCCCTCCGCGGCAGAAGAAGAAGGCGGCCGGCCAGGAACCGCCCGCCAGCAGCATCGCGGCACCCAGACCAGCAGCACCATCGCGGCGCTCCGCAGTGGCCACAGCCTATCGCTGCCGCGTATCGCCGCCACCGCCCGCGCCCGCCCCGGCCCTTCCCCCGCCCCGCCCCCCGCCGCTCCCCGGCAGCCGGGGCACCGGCCCAGCCTCATTCAAAAAGCAGCAGCACCCGGCAGGCCTGCCGGTTCCAGGTAACGTGTGGATGGCTCGCTGCCGCCACCGCCGCCTCAGGGGCCTGCACGGGAAGGGGGCAGGCGGGCTAGGGGGATGTCGCAGCTGCAGGCCGGCCCTGCCGGGTCGCTGGTTGCCGGGCCGCCCGGGGATTGACCTTGCCCGCCCGCGGGGAGGTAGCGATGCTGGCGGGGCAGGCCGCGGCGGGAAGCGGGAGGCGCCGGCATCAGCTCCTGCGCGGCCTCCGCCTGCCGCCCGCCCCGCGTCGGTCACGCGTGGAAGGCCGCGACCCGCCGTTGGCCGGGCGCGGGACTGACACGCGCTGGCGCCGCCATGGCGAGGCCGTGAGCCCGTCCCGGGCCGCGGGAGCCGCCGGGGCGTGGGGCAGGGCCGCGGGCGCTGAGTGGGGAAGGCCCGGCCCCACGGAGCCTGTTTACAGCATTCCTCACGCAAACTGAGGGCGTAGCGAATTTGAACAGCCCCCCCCCCGGGTTTCTGGGGGGTGCCGGAGCCACCGGGTCCTCCTAAGCGCAGACCTCCCTGCCCGAATTAGGAGGTGCCCCACCGCGGCCTTTCTGTAGTAACTGCCCCGGTTTTCACTCGAGGCCTGTTTCCCGCAGGCCCCGAAGCTGCCGCAGCCCAGCCCCCGGCAGAGATGCAAATGAGGCCTGACAATTAGACACTGCTTCTCTGCTATAATAACAGGGGCTGGGCGTTACGCTGGGGAGATGGTTTTTATGTGCATGTGTGTGTGTTTGTGTTGGATGGATGTGCTTGGAACTCCATTTCTGTACTTAACTCTCCCTGAGCATTTTTTGCCCCTTAGTGCACAGTGATTCCCTGTGCACAGTCCAGCATCACCTGCTACTTTATTAGAAATAAATGTATTTTTAATTGCGTGGTTGTACTAGCTTTACAGCCCAAGGATTGCTTTCGGAACATGTAACAGCATCCATGACTTGAAGTTTTATTTTAGTTTAGCAGTATCTCATATAGCTCATTTGAAATAATCTGTTCCATGAAGGTACTTTAATTTTTAGCTGTTTCAGAGGATACAGTTAAAGATGTGCTGAAGAAGGAGAAATTTGGATTTTCTTTAGATGCCTCCGTGCTGGTTACTTCATTTATAATCTTTTTCCTTACTTAAAAGCATCTTGAGGCAGTTGAAGGCTGAGCTGTTTATCTCACTGTGAGGGACTGCAGGGGGGAAATAGAGTTCCTTTGGACTTTATTTTCGTGTTGAAATATGGCATCAGCATGCCTTACAAAATAATTGAGCAACAGGTGCTATCTTGTATTGCAGAACGAAGGAAGAGCAGTACTGCAGTTGATAGTGTGCTAATTGAAAGCATGTTGGCTACTAAGCTGTCCCGGCCTCTCCTGAGCTTCTCTGTGAAAGCCCTGAATTTCAAGGACCCAGGGAATGGCCTCAGGTAAGTAACTAGGTGGAAGAGAAGACGAAAGAGTGAGATCTTGAGTAAAGCATATATAAAGGGCTCGTATAGTTTCAGTGGGACAGTTTATTTACAGAATCACAAGATGGTAGAGGTTGTAAGGCTCCTCTGGAGGTCATCTGCTCCAGCCCCCCGCTCAGTCAGGGCCTCCTAGAGCTGATTGCCCAGGACTGTGTCCAGGTGGCTTTGGAGTATCTCCTAGGATGGAGACTCCATAGCCTGCCTGGGCAACCCATGCCAGTGCTCAGTCCTTGAGCTGAGTACAGATGGCCTCTATCTACAAGGAAGGGTTGGCAACATGCTGTTTGGTGTTTTTCACACTTGGACAATCATCTGCAGTCAAAAGGAGATGGAGCAGAGCATTAATCGAGTGTCAAGCAAGGATTTATTTCTGAATATCAGCAAGTAGGCTTTGCTGGAGAACAAGAAACTCTCATGTATTTCTGTGACTTCATCAAAGAGGCCATGAATCACAGGAAATGAAAGAGAAATTTGAGGGGAGGGGTTTAGTGAGGACCAGAGGTGGGCTGAGTAATGAAGCTGTTTTTTTTCTGAACATGGACAAAAAATTGCCTATCTAATTCTAATTCCTAGCTCTGAAAAAATAAAACCTTTTATTTTGACATATGTGAGAACCCTACTAGTCCAAATTGAGAGCAAGTTGAGTGCTTTCACTGGCTTAGGGCAGGGTTCCCAAACAATGGTGTGTTTACCAGTAATCGTACATAAGCTGTTTAAAAATGGCTCATGGCCTGCTAAGCAACAACTGCCACCTCCAGTGTTTTTCTACTGCTGTTGATAGTGGTGTCCAGCACCATCACTGTCAAGGACGGCTCCTGTAACAGGGAGCTGTAGAGACCAAAGACAGCTAAGCTGTTAGAGATTTCCTGTGCAAACAGACATAGGCCTTATATCTCCTGTTTACTACACACACATACCTCAAAGCTGCACCAGCAGGAATTTGCTATGGCCTTAAAAATACCAAGTAATGCTTGAACAAAGAATTATTGACTTCAAAAAGAATTTTCAGCATATTCTTCTTCTATTTTGCTTACTGTGTGTTTGTGCTTCGTGTGTCTTGTACTCAGGGCAAAAATGTGTTGTGTTTTTTGAAGTACCCACAAGCTGCTAAACCTGAAATGGAAATCTGTTCATCTGGAAGGCAGTGTTGTCATTATACTAGTATCTTAATACCTTGAGGTAGCATTTATGTACTTGACTCTTCAAGCTGAGGACTGCCTTCTTTGGTGTAAGTGGAAAAAGTGGTCCATGGTTATAGGCACAGATTCAATTCGAGGACCATATGTGCATTTTAGAAGTCTCAGTTGTGGTCTCTAGAATTCAGTCATGCAGAATGACAAAAATGGCTTGTGGTACATTAGTGTACTGTGTGGGGACTAGCATTGTATAGGCTTCGTAGCTGTTTCCTCTGGTGACATTCCTGTTGATCAGCAGCTGGCACCTATTTGATGCCCTTGGCTTCAGGTCAAGGTAGGCAGAATGTCAAGTAGCTATTCTCTACAGGTTATTATGAATAAATAGAGTGCAGCAAATCAGTGCTCTGCAGTGAAATAACAGGACCAGACATGATACTGAAAAATAAAAATCAAGTTCATGCAACTAAAAGAAATGTTATCAACATTTCTGGACACCTTAAGATACACAGAGAAGCTTATATGTGAGATAAAAGTTCCAGGTCAGGTTTGCAGGTCAGTGATGTTAACACAGACTTTGCCTGGGGACTGACCTTTGCAGTGACTAAATCGGCTGTAGCTATTTCAAGAACTGATTGGGTTTGTGACACTCAAAGGTAGAAAAGGAGCTAAACTCTTACAGGAAGGTGAGTGAACACTGTTGCTTGAATATAAATAAGTTCCTTTTCCATCTGGTTCAAAGATTCTGCCCAAGCAGACCCTTTTTCTAGCCTTCTTTTCCCAAGGTGGAGCTCAAGAGGCCAGAGTGTGCAAGTTGCTGTTCAGTGTAGCGCAGGTCACCCTGGGAGTGCCTGTGATGTCTGAGCAGGAGATAATAGTGAATGATGATGCAGATTCACTTACAAGACAGAAGAGCAGCCTGGAAGATAAGCTCTGCTGAAAGACAGATGTTGTTAGGGTAGATCAAGTACAGCAAATCTAGGGGAAGGCCAGAAGCCTGTGGGAGGGCAGTGTCAGTGCCCAAAGCAAAAATGAAAAAGCAGATACAGTTCAGAGAGGATGCTGGCAAGGACAGAGGCTAGGGTCACTCTGGTGTGTTGTCTAGGCCCAATTTGATGACTGATGGCAAGACCTAAGACAGCATGATGCTACTGGTAGCATCATTTCTAAGCAGAGTCTTACTTCATGGAAGGCACTGTTGCTTTGCTTGGTCTGTCTTTGTGAGCATGGTTTATCTTTCTGCGAGTCATACTATGTGGAGGAGCTTCAGACCTGCATGGCAGGTATTACTAAAAGATGTGGTGTCTCTTAGTTTAAGCAGTTGCAAAGAGGGGATATAAAATATAACAGTATCTAAAGGGTAGAAGCTGTAGAAGAAGAAGTGTCATTTAAGATGACAGAACAGTAGAGCGGTGTGTAGAAGCAGGAAGACCGATCCAAGCAAGTTCAGCCTTGGGGTAGGTATCAGAGTCAATGCTATGGCAGAATACTTTCATCAGACAACTGAATAACTTCCTCTACCTCGGCTTTGTGCAACTGTTAAGTGAGAGTGTTGTTGCTGTTAGAAATGAAAACACTGTACTGCCCATTTTGCGGAGGAATCAGCTCTGTGCCTCCAGACCAGGAGCTATTTTAGAATTCTTGGTGATATCCAGACATCTTCTGCAGCTGGAAATAACATCAAGCTCTTTGAAGAAACAAATGTTTCATACAGTAGAAAACACACAGGCTCAGACTAAGGAGAACTGTAGGCTGGATTCTGTCTTCTCAAATGACAGTATACATATGTATAAAGACAATACTACATTCCTTTTCATGTGTAAGCTGCAGCATGAGGGTGCAGACAGGATATTCTGTGCCTGATTGTTCTGTTGTTTTTGTTTTACCAACAGACCTGTGCAAAGGTTTTGCTTCCCTCTCTTGTACCCATGTGGCAGCCGCTCTTACGCAAATGAAGTTGATCAGGTGAGTATGATTGTGTTTTCCAGGAACTAGTTCTGTTGAGCTGGGGTTTTAAAATCCCTGAAGCCTGGTGACCAAATTCTTCTTTCCAGTTTCCCAGAAAGACTCTGAGCTGGACCTCTCCAACATACTCCACATTCTTTCCTAGCAGAGAGCTTCCATTGACGTAGCATGGTGCTAGGGATGGAAATAATCAGACTGCTTGGTTTCTTCTATTTTTGGAACTCACTCAGCAAATGAAATCTTCTACCTTAGAGTGGAGGGAATTTGCATAACAACTTCCTAACACTGTGCTTTTTCTGGAGTATGGTTGTGTAAAGAGATGTAAATAAATCACTGAGTCCTCACCTTTTGATCTGGAGAGTGGCCCTTCCTTAACAGCCCTCTCCTGGAAGGTGCTAGTTTGCCAGGAACAGTACCAGGCAATCAGAAGGGGGATGTTTTGCCCACTTACCTGAGGCCCAGAACTCAGAACATGCACATCTTGCTTCGTAATCCCTGAACAGTCTCAGAGGAATTCATATATGCCCCTTGCATCACTTCTGGGCTTCTAGTGTGACCCTGATGAATCCCTGTGTATGCTGGGGAAAGCCAAATTGCTAGTTTGTTAAGAGATGAGTTGGGATGATTGTGAGTTATTATTACCTAATCCTACCCACAGCACCACCTTGCTGCGTTTGCACTTGTTGCTGCTGGAATGTCCGATAAGCCATGCAGTCTTTAACATGTCACTTAACTTCTGGCTCTCTTTGGGTTAGAAGAAGGGGTTTGGAGAAAGAAGGAAGTATACTTCTGTTTTAAGTTTTAATTGGAAAAATAAGATGACCAGAAAAGAAACAAAAAGACCTATGAGCCACCAGTTTTAATTTCAGATATTAAACCCACTTGATTCTGCTTAGCTTCTAAAACCCAGCACTAGAGGGTTTACATGCTAGAGAGAGAAAAATGAATGAGCAATCAGTCATGTCAGTCCATATTCTTTCTTCAGGTAAGCTATTTCCCCATGCCCTATGGGCTGCATGGCACACAAGAGCGGGCTCCTGCGTGCTTTGAACATATAGGAACAGTTCCTACTGCAGGAAAACATGGCTGGGAAACTGTCTGGTATATTTTCACATTTCAAGATGGATGTGGGCTGCCAGAGAATGGTGTGCTTGGTCTCTGCCTTGGGACCCTGTTGCCTTGGGAGCCTGTCATGGTTTAAGCCCAGCTGGTAACTCAGAACCATGCAGCTGCTTGCTCATTCTTTCCCTTCTTCCCCCTGCTGCTCCTGGAGGGATGGGGAGGAGAATCAAAAGAATGTAACTCCCGTGGGTTGAGATAAGAACGGTTCAGTAACTAAGGTATAACACAAACCGCTACTGCTACCACCAATAATAATAATGATAAGGGAAATAACAAGGGAAGAGAATATAAAACTAAAAGGGGAAAAAGAAAAGAAAATAATAAACACAAGTGATGTACAATACAATTGCTCACCACATGCCAACCAATACCCCGCCCAATCCAACCAGCAATCTGGGCTTTCTGGGTAACTCCCCCCAGTTTATATACTGGACAGGATGTGCTGTGGGATGGAATACCCCTTTGGCTAGTTTGGGTCAAGTGTCCTGTCTCTCCTTCCTCCTGGCTTCCTATACCCCTCCTCACTGGCAGAGCACGAGACTGGAAAGTCCTTGATCGGAGTAAACATTACACAGCAACAACTAAAAATGTCAGTGTGTTATAAGCATTGTTATCAGGCTAAAGTAGAAAACAGCACTGCACTAGCTACGAAGGAGAAAAATAACGGCTACAGCTGAACCCAGGACAGTGCCAATGTTCTGTGTTGTGGGGACAGTGATCCTGCCTCACCGGAGTGAACTCCATATGAAACCTTCATTTCTTGCCTTCAAGAGGCACTGGGTGGCAGTATTGGCAACGAGAGTAGACAACGTCCCTGGGGCACACTGCTCCTGGCAGTCCACTGTACTACAAATCACTGATTTCAGATACTCAATTCCAGCGCATTTTGTTCTGTTCTGTTTTGCAGATTGGCAGCAGAGCTGTGCTTATAACAGGTTGTGACTCAGGCTTTGGATTTGCCTTGGCCAAGCACCTGCATGCCAAAGGCTTCATTATTTACGCTGGGTGCCTGCAAAAGGTAGGGAACACAAAAACTATATTCTTCATCTGTGCCATGTGAGCAGACATGTAGCAAGTCCAGTCTTCCCCCTCCACTCTGCACAGCTTTCTCCCTAAGAGAAGGAGAGCAGTTGATAGCCCAAGGGGAAAGACATGGGTGCTTGAATTTCAGAGAGCATAACCTGGTCTGGACCAGAACCAGGACTGAACATGGGGAGATTCTTATTTGAATCACAACATTGTGGTCTGTTCCGTATTTGATGGACTGGAGCCCTGAATCTAATTTTATATGCTTTTCCATAAGCAAATTTTGGGATCAGGTTAAGTCTGGATCATTGGCCCTGCTCTCAAACTACACATATTTGTGCAGGGTTTATCTGTAACTGTGATGTACATCAACCCACCATTGATTCTATGGCATATAGTATGAGCATATTTTTCCATGTTCATAAGTAACGGTGTACCTCAGTGTGTATTGAGGATGTTCTGAAATCACTGTGAAAGCAAAAAGAGTTCCACAAGTGCAAATGAGAGCAGAATCAGGCCACAAACAGCTTAGTGGTGAAATCTTGCCACATGCTCCAGGAGCACTCTGTACAGCACTCAGAGATGCCTGGTTATGGAGAATAGGAGAGAGCTTTAGCCTCTCCCTATGAAGTGCTGCATTTTATTAGCTGCATGTCCATTTCCCAACAGAAACAAATTTATTCCTTGGGATATCCTGGGGTGGGTCTGTTATTATGATCCTAATCTTTTAGCTTACTCATCACTGTAAGTGATGGTTTAGTGTGAGGTGTCCCTGCCCATGACAGGGGGGTTGGAACTTGATGATCTTAAGGTCCTTTCTAGCCCTAACTATTCTATGATTCTATTCTATAAATGTATCTTGAATAGTTTTATTATTTAAAGAGAATTTGCCAGCTGTTTTTTTTTTTTTATGTTATCCATACCCTTTCTACTGTTATTTTTTTCCATTATTACTATGTTTTGCTTAAATTACTAGTTTCTTTCTGCTGCATTTTTTCAAGAGAAGGTTGTGTTTCTATAGCTCTGCTCTTTGTGTCTCAGCTTTGGGTCAGGGGTTTATTTCTTAACCTGTGCTCCCTCTACAGGCTTCACAGCAGAACAAGACATGTCTTATAAACTGCTGCTTTTCAAAAAAGGTGTCAAGAGAGAGGGTAGATGAGTACTTTTCTGGCAGATGTTTCTACTCAGCTCTTGTAACAGCGGATCAACATTAGAAAATACAAGAATGTTGCAGACTTAAAATCCATTGTTTAGAATAAGAGCCTGCCTCTGTGTTGACAAGATTCAAAAATTTGAGAGCTGCAAAGTTACTTCTGGGTTTCACTTCCTCTGTCTGAGCTGACAGAGAGACCTAATTCTCAGTAAGCATGCCTTTAACTGTCACTGAAACTTCCCTTTTGGTGTCTTCAGTACTCATTCCACTGAATGCATGTTAGTGGAAAATCTGTGCCTCTGATAATTTTAGCATAAGCTGACATGCAGCAGCATGCCAGAACTCTTTTAGGCTTTGATCAACATTTGTTTCATTGCCAAAAATCAGCAAACGGCTTTGCTGTATCACTGTGTAATTAAATATTTATTCTTTAGCTGGACTCTCATCCCGTGTTCCAGAATTTCTGTGACTTTGGCAAGACTGGAAACAGAAGTTGTCATCAGAAAAACACTGTAAAATGACAAACCTCCTTTAGTTAACCAGCTGGCCTCCTGTGTGCCTTCATGGCATATACTTTATGTAGAACTGCCCTGTAGAACTAAAACAACTCCAGGAGACTGAGCTGGTTTCTCATTGTGCCTCAAGTTTCACTAACAAAACCATAAGCAGAATTCTGATCAGTATAGTTATCGCTGGTGCTCATTTTAGGGCAGAAAGAGCCTGGTGTGTTTTTAGATGCTAGACAGAAGTGGAAGTAGAAATAAGAAGCATCATTTTTTGCTTGAGTGTATTTGACCTAGCCCTGACAGTGAGGAAATGGCTGTGAAACTTCAGTGTTATTTTCACAGGACTGTTTGTCACAGCACACCTGCACATCAGAAGCATGCTGCAGCTTGGGGAGCCATCATATCCTCAGGGTATGCACTGTTCTTGGGAACATCACATCTTTATTGAAGATTAAAAGTGTGTGCAGTGCTGACTTTTCATTCAGGAAGGGTTTCCTAGAGAGCCAGATCCTGAGCATCTGATTATTTTTACTGAAGGAAACCTGAGAGAGGTGTTTAGAGCCACGACTGAGGGGAGCCTGAGGATGGATTATTGCTAACAGTATGCTATTTCGTACAGTTTCTTCCTAACGTTTTCACCAGCAAATAAATTCATGTGAGAGTTGTGTTGGTACTTCATTGCCAAAAGACAGTGGTAGACTGGATCCAGTGAATGATCATGCTGCAGCTGTCTTATTTTTTCCCCTTTGGTCAATAGCTGGAGGAACTAGCTGACACAAGATGAAGAAGGTATTTTTCCATCAGTATCTGTTACTAGTGGACATATGTGATGTTTGTTATGGCTGTCAGGAGTGTGATGGAATCTCTGTTTGCTTTGCTTTGTGTGCTCGGGCCTGCTGCGGCTTATAGGAGTATGAGAAGGCAGAGTATCTGAGCAGCAAGCCAGCATGTAGACCAGTTTCTGTATGTCTTACCAAGAGTGCTCAGAGTCACAGGGTGTTACATACCACTTGAAGGACACACTGATAGAGGTACAAACTAAAACCCATGGGCCCCAGAAGATGACCATGCTAAGAGGAAGATGAGGCAGCTATGTGTTTTTTTCAGTATGCAAGACCTGGGTCCTCTTGCCATGGCTCTAGGGCTGACAGCAGAGATGTACTGGTCTTTTGGTGTAGCATGAGAAGGTCCTTCCACTGCTGGGTACACGCTGCATCCCGCACCAGGACAGCATGACACAATCACAGGGTGCCTGCCTTAAACACCACCTATGTGCCCTTTCTGGAGAGCAAAGGGAATGGCCCTATGAGTCTGGGTTAATGCCTGGAGCCCAACTCTCTACCAGGTTCCCAGCTGCAAGGGTCCCTGTCCAAGCACCTGGCTGCTTGGTGGAAGCAAGATGCTCCCTTAAAGGAGGAAGAAGAGAATGTTGTGAAGGTCCCAGTAGAGCTTACAAGGCCTCTGAGGCTGCTGTGTTGCCATGGCCCAGGGATTTTGTAGCATTTTTGTAGATCAGGGAAGTAAGCATGTTGGCCTTATTGTTCTTCCTTTTCCTTTTAGTTATATCTGCTGTTTTCAAGGGACTTGCATGCTTATATTTGCTGATTCACTACTGGTATTCCCACATGTGCCACTTGTATGTTTTTTAATGCTTTGCCATATAAACTGGCTTTGGCACCTCAGTGCTGTTGAGCAAGCAGCAAACTTAGCACAAAATGGTTTTCAGTCAATGTAGAAACAAACACTACTAAGCTATGCATGGGACTTTTAACTGCTCCACTGTGTATGCAGTGTGCTTCTGTGTGAAGAGAGTGCAGTAGATGCCTTCTCTTAAGAACAAATACTAACCAGTATTAACAGCCTGCAATGGAGTAAGGAAGGGTGGAGAAGAAGACAGAGGGGACATCAGGTATTTAAGTTAGTGAACTGTGTGAGCAGAATGGATAAGCCCAGGAATGAGTGAGCCAGGAGAAGGTTTTTTGAAAGACAGGTGGCACAGAAACAGGGGGACATATGGCCATCCTTGTGTGATATCTGAAGTGTGTTGTCTGAAGGGAGCTCTCGCTTGAGGCAGAAAATAGGCAGCCTGGATTCAGACTGCAGAGATGAGCACCCCTTCATTGTCAGCTGACTGCTGGCAGTCTCTGATGGGGAGTGCCTGTGGCTTGAGGTGTTTAGAATGATCTAATGTCATTCAGAAGGCAGAAAACAGCCCTTCTATGAAGAACTGGCCTGTTCCAGATCAGAGGGAAAAAAGTTATCTATCCTAAAAAGCCTCATCTCTCAGGAGTGAAGAGCACTGCAGTGCTTGCCTGCTGATGCTGACACAACGAGTGGGGCTACCTGGAGAATTGAGTGGTGGGGGAAGAGCTCATCAGCCATTAGACGATCCTGTGGGACATGCTCCATGTCTAGCCTGTTAATGGGGAGTAAAAGACTTCTAGTGAGGGATGCTATTGAGGGGACAGGAGGAGTTTCTCACAGCAAAGGTAGGGTTGTTGCAAAAAAAGTGATTATTTTCAGACCTCATCATCCTCTACAAAAGTACCCTGGAGTGGCCAGCACAGTCCAGTAGCTTACAACCATGAGAATGATTCAGGGATAGTCTCAAACTCATATTAATAACCTGTGTTTCTGTCCTGGAAGCACCACAGCCACACTTGACTGCTGTGAAGGGACTAGCTCTGGGTGCAGTAGCCTTGTTGCTAGTGGTGTGTGTCCCATGTGAAAGGTATCCCAGGGGTTGGGTGCAGTTAATTGGCTGGGTTGTGAGTGAATATGTGTATACTGAAGGAATCTGTTGTTATGAGCTGGGAAAAAAAGAATGGAGATGGGAAACCAGAGTGACAAAAAGCTCATGGTGGGAGGCAGAGAAGAGAGCAAGATGCTTAAAGGACACGAAGGGAACCTGCAAGCTAAAGTGAGAATTGCACCATGTTCCCATCACTGCAGCAGGGGGACATAGCTTGATCTCAGGAGCTTGTACTGGGCAGGAGTTGCCTAGCTGTCACACATCCAGCTCTGTCTTCTTTCTTGGTGGTCAAAATAGTTTGTACCAGCTGATTTGGTGGCAGGGCTCCTGGTCAGATGGAGGATTGGAGGAATGGTGCTCTGCATAGCAGCCCTGTCCATCCCCTTCCTCTTAGAGCTGCAGGACTTCTGATTTTTCTGTGACTGCCTTGTGCGCTGTCTTTTGCTTGATCTGATAGTTGCTATGCATATGATTTGCTACACAAGTTCTTTGGCCGGATTCAAGCCAATGTTTTCTTCCCATCTAGGACAAGGGAGAAGGTGGGTCCAAGGAACTGGACGGTATGAACAGTGATCGAATGAGAACTGTCCAACTCAATGTCTGTGACAGCAAAGAAGTAGACCGAGCAGTGGAGCATGTGAGTAGCAGCCTGGAGGACCCAGAGAAAGGTAGGTGTCTGCAATGGGCTCTAAGGTCACATAGGTGGCAGAGCTCCCTTAGCTGGGCTCTGAGAGCATTTTCAGGGTATGTTTAAAAAGCTGAGCATATGGTTGAAGGGCACAAAACTCTGAGGAGCAGCAGTGCAGAGCAAATGGCCTGTTTAAGTGTTGTGCCATGACACTTAAAGGAGAAGTGGGAAGAAAGCAGGTTCCCACTTAAGACAGCATCTAGAAAGAAAACTTTTTTTTCTCCACTAGTAGACTAGGGACACTAGTAGAAATCAGGGTGGTGGTTAAGGCCCTGGGATTAGTGCTCTGTTCCTGTGACCTGAAGTTTATTGTGACTCCTTTTATGTTGTAAAATCTGGCCAGTGCCCAAAGCTTGGAGATTAGCAATGGAAATGCGTTCTGCAAACACGGAAAAGGCAAAGGAAATGGAGAGGTTTTCCAAAGCATTTCCCTTTTCATGAAGCCAGCTGAGTATCAGTGCTATTGCAGGTACTATCATACATTACAGATTTCAGAGTTCAGGGGGTATCTGTAACTGACTTATTTGGCCTGCCTACCTCATTGTGCTGAGGTGATGACAGCAAATTCTGCTCTGGTCCAGTGAAACCTTTTCAACCTTTGGTAAGCTGCACTTTTTCCCCCTAAAGAGCATCCCCCTAAAGATTGAACATGCGAAGATTGTTTAAAAGCAGAACAACCAGCAACATTTTAGTTTGGATTTTGCATAAAGCTATTTCTTTCACTTTTCTTTAAATATTATTTTCATATATGGATCTTCTATATGAATTGAGTTTTCTAGCCCTGTGTTCTCAAGCATAGGCCAGAATAAAGTTGCCTTTTCTGGGTTGCTTCTGAGAACACAGATCTGGACACAGTCAACAGATAACAATGAGGTTTTCGGAACAGCAGAGAGAAGCCATCCCAGACTTTGCCCAGTCTGTTTCTTGTGCAGTCAGAATGTTATATGAATTGAGTTCATTTTATCCCAATTTCCTTTTTAATCTTTCTTTTCATTGCCAAATAAGTCGGTAGTTTCAGTTGTTGCTGATTTGGATGCAGCAGAGTAAAAGGAAGAGGCTATTGTATGTGTCCACCCATGCCCCCTTCCCAGCATTGCAGACTTTCTAGTTCTTATGGTGACACAAGGGATTTTATTTTGAAAGAATTTCTCTTTTGTTTCTTACAAATTCTTATTATATGCATATTCTTATTATTTGCATCTAGAGACTATACTTTGCTGCTTTTAAAAATTCACAATGGGTAAAAAGAGAACGCAAGGAGAACAGCTTAGACAAGGATAAAGTTCTCTGTTTGCTGGCTCAGAACTTCCCTTTAAGGGAGTCTTATTCATGGCACTTTGTGGCTGCAGTGTTGGGCAGTGCAGGCAGATCCTGGTTGTGGGTACATTTGCTCAGGAGACTGAAGTTTGCTCTTCTGTCTGGCTTCCATCATTAGAAGTTGTAATGAAAAGCTCTATTGTGTGGTTCAATAATCTATTAGAAAGGCCTTTTCCAAGCTTCTCTTATTAGTCTCAGAGAGGGAAAGCTTTCTGCTTGATTTTATTTTCTAGGGCTCTGGGGACTGGTTAACAATGCTGGGATCTCCACATTTGGGGAAGTTGAGTTCACCAGCATGGACACCTACATGGAGGTAGCTGAAGTGAACCTGTGGGGGACTGTGCGAACCACCAAGGCTTTTCTCCCGCTCATCCGGAGGTCAAAGGGTGAGTGATCTCCTCTTGACATGGAGCAAGTCCCTCATCCTGCCCCATGTCTTATTGTGCTAGTGGCCAAAATGTTCTCTCTGCACACTGGCCACCTTCATACCTTTACACCAGAGTGTGACCCACGGCATACACACAGATGACAGATTTCCTAACTGCTCTGAGGAACACTGCAAGGCAGCAGTCCTGAAAAACAGCTCACCCTAAATTCCAGTGCCAGGTGCAATCATCCCCTCTATACAAAAACCATCTGTGCCAGTGCTGGCAGGGTGAACAGCAGCTGTGCCCTATGGCATGCTTCTTGCAGGGAACTTGTCAGCTGTAAGCTGTGTTACTGTGGGAGCTCGTAATGTATGAGAGGGGGTTTGTACAGGAAAGGAATGTAGACCTGGAGCTTGCATGGGTCTTGGCATAATGAGGCAAAAACTTTCCTCTACTGAGCCCAACTACCTGACTAAATGAGAATATTTTTTACTCTTGGAGCATGCACAGACATGAACAATGTTGTTCTGTTTTGCAGACGTGGGCTGTAGTGGCCCAGGTAGCACTTCTTCCACCATGGAAGGGTATCTTCTTCTGTGGTCAGAGTTTCTCTTTCTAACACAACTCAGCAATGAGCAGATTGAAGGTGCAGAAAAATGCAACTGTTGATTAGAATGCAGCCTCCACAGTCTTCTACCAGCATTCTTCCCAGCCAAAATGGATGACTTCTGGAGAAGAGAAAGGCCCCAGCTCTGTGCCTGGAGCCATAATCTGGCTGTTACCCAGAAAGGGTGCAGTGGATTTAGACTCTGCCAGTTTGTAATGCAGGAGCAATCCATTCCCTTTTAAGAGGCACACATTATAAGCCATCATTGAGCTCCTGGATTTTGTGCCCTTGACTTGCAAATAAACAAGCTTAGCCTTGGTGCCAGAGGCTTTCTTTGCCTCTTGTCTGGGCTCAGGCCTGATTGCTGCTGAGCAGCCCTGTTTCTCACTATGCAGGCTCTGTCCAGCCTCTCCTGTGTTCCCCGTAACACTGAGCTTTGTGTGTCACCATGTTCCTGTTCCCTCGGGTATAATGAGCCAGGGCACACAAGCAGCGGACTTAATCTCCTGCCTGAAAGCTGTTGCATAGAACAGCAGTGCTCAGATAGAGCAAGAGCAGGTTTGCCAGGCAGACCTTACGAATGTGTAGTGGGCAGGTGGATGCATGTGCAGGAATGTGTTGGGTGGTGTGTTGGGCATCCGCTCTGGATGAGGTACCACAGTTGAGCTGTGCTTTGCCTAGGTCGTGTGGTGAACATCAGTAGCATGATGGGCCGCATGGGCAGTCCTGCCCGCTCACCGTACTGCATCACCAAGTTTGGCGTGGAAGCCTTCTCCGACTGCCTGCGGTATGAAATGCAGCCCCAGGGGGTGATGGTCAGCATCGTCGAGCCTGGCAACTTCATTGCTGCCACCAACCTGTACAGCCCCGAGCGCATCAAAGCCATCGCAGACAAAATGTGGGATGAGCTCCCTGAGATAGTGCGCAAAGACTATGGCAGGAAGTACTTTGACGAGCAGGTCAGCAAGATGGAGACATATTGCAACAGTGGCTCCACAGACACCTCGCCAGTCATTGAGAGCGTGACCCATGCACTCACCTCCACCACCCCCTACACCCGCTACCACCCCATGGATTACTACTGGTGGCTGCGCATGCAGATCATGACACACATGCCTGCTGCCATTTCCGACCGGCTCTATGTCTACTGAGGCTACCCAGGTGGGAAATTCATTGTAAAGAGAGCATTGTACACACTTCCCATTCGTCCTTTTAAAGTTTTTCTAACCTCATTTCAGAGTACTGTATTTTAGCTCTAAAGGGTTCATTTAAACATCTGACATAACCTAAAGGGCAATAATTTGCAAGGGTTGCTTCATAGGCAGGAATGCATTATGTTTGTGCAGGGACATTGATTCTTTGCTATTTATTTCATGTAATCGTCGTGGTTTTCTTTTTGCACCTCAAATTCCAAGTTGTAATCATTATTTAAACTGCAATTGCTTTGAAATGTTTTCAGAATAATTTTTGCTGGTGGCCAAACACAATTTTCACAATTCCTGCCTAGGATGCACCCTTCACACCATAAAACAGTGATTTGCCCTCCATGCTGTAATGGCAAATCACTGCCTCCTAATGACAAAGAGCGTCCAACAGACTTGTCCAGGTCACAGTAGCCCAAGGCAGAGCAGAGAACTTTAATTTGGGATCAGAACTCAAAGTGCTGGAGGTACAGAAACTGAGCAACTGACCCTGTGCATTTATCTCTTAGAATTACACTGAAACCGTAGAGAGAAAGGAACCGGTCTGCTTTTCTTACACGCATCCAGGGACTCAATCCTGCAGACCTTTCCCACTCCCACTTTCTTACTCACATGAGCATTCCCCTGTGTGAGCAGCTTTACGCACAGGACTGCAGGTGTCAGGATTGGCCTGTAGTAACACTTCTCAAACCGTCATTGTGCATCAACTCCAGACTTAGTTTGGAGAAGAGTTTCACTCAGCTCCTATAATTGTGAGGGTCACTGCTGAGCAGAGGGAAGCAGCGAGAGTTATAGCCACATCAGATATGCCATTCGTACCGGGGACCTCGGGGTTACGCTGAAGTATCTGTACAGCACCTGCACAGAAGGGCCTTAACCCTGACCTAGAGGCCTATAGGCAGTGTTTTGGTGCAGGTGATGGTAACAACAGGAACTTTCATTGAAGGAGTCACTGAGCTGAAATGCATCTAAACATAAATCTAACAGAACATCCACGACAATAAAGTTAACTTTAAGAGCCGTTTCATTTCCGTGATGGTTGTTTACATATCTGAGAAACATTCATTTTGTACTGTAAGAAAAGAAAAAGAAAAAAACCCATAAACCATAGAAGAGCCTTTCATGTGAAATGCAGACAGATTATTTTTTTTAGGCTTGGAAGACAAAAAGTAATTAAAATGACCATTGTTAGTGAAGTTAAAAAGAAGGGATCTCACATGCTTTAGTAACATATTGTGACATGATCAAACTGCTTTGGCTTAATAAATGCATACATGAATGGTAACAAAACTCAGAGGCTGCCTATCTGTTCTTTAAATAGTTAAGGTGAAAAGCTCATATTCTTTAGTGGTGTTTTTCTAAATCTGGTGAGGTTCGTGCCTGTTACGCATACATACTGCAGTCAGAGGCTGATGTGCAGTCTTGGGTCGTGCATGTCCATGTTGGATAATGCACGACTTCTGCAGGAGTACCAGATGTATCCTGCGTCTTGTGACAAATGTGGCTAACCACTGGACTCTGTGTATTCTTAAACTTGCACCTGCACTGAACTCCCACAGATTACAAAGGATTATTACGGATTATTCCCAGGGAGCAGGAAGAGCTCTGAAGAGGGGAGGGGGATGGCAGTGCGTCAGCAGGGCAGCCACAAAACGCGTCACTGACAGACCCCAAGTAAAACCGTGGGAGAGACTTGCTGGCTTCCAGATCCTCACGATTTTCTCCAGAGCCCTAGCAGTGGTAACTGCACCTTGTGGGGCAGGGCATGTTGCCTCATATCCTAATATGTGGACTTCTCTCTGGGACAAAATGTAAGAGTATGAACCACAAAAGACCCAGCTTGCACAAGGACTGACTTGCAAGGCAGAGCAAAGCACCTGGATAACAATGTTTTGCAGATAACATAGCAGAAACAGAAAAGTCTTTATGAGAAAAGTTCCTGTAGTCTAAGAATTAGCCCAAGATGCTAAGTGGCACAAAAAAAAAACCCACGTCATTCCACTTGGGATGCTAGCTTTCAATTTTACGTGTACTGCTGGGTTTTAATACAGACATCAATGAAGTTAAGATATGGAAAAGCCTGAGTGCACAGCTGAGTTATCTCAGTTTAGCTCAGATACCCCTGAGAGCAAATGTAGCAGATGCTGAACAGTACCACATTCATTCCCAGCCAGAAAGATAAAGCTCACCAGTGATAACTGTGCTCACATCTACCCAACATCTCTTCTGGAGGCTTCTGCATTCATTTGCATGAGGTGCCCACAGGGGGCTCTGAAGCTGCCACCACTCCGGAGCCAGAGGAGATGTGACGATACTGGGGCCCTGCAGTGATTCATAGGGGACTGTGTGGCCACTCACAATGGGGAGGCCATGGCGAGGGTGCTCCCATGCATCGCAGCTGATAACAGGTTTCTCTGCAAGTTATTGTGACACTGGGAGAGTTTGGTAGCCGATTCATGGTCAGGAGGGCAGCAAGCCGGTTAGTGTTCCTGCTGGGATCTCGGCAATCCCACAGTTCCAGGGTTTGCCCTGAGAAGTGTATTAAAAGCTAATCCCCTCAGGTTTTGCATGACTGTCCTTGCAACCCAGCACACTCGAGGTCCTGCCATGGCTCCTGGTGCTGCCATGGCTCCTGGTGTAGCTTCACCCACCAAGTTTGTTTGAAAACTACTAAGAGCAAAAGCTTTAAGCGGATTTGGCCGGGCACCTGCTCCTCTGCGCTGCCACAGCTGCCCCACTGCCCCCTCTGGAGGAGCTGAGCAGCCTGGAGGGATCACTTTGTGGCTTGCCCACCCCTAACTCTAGACCTAGTCTGTTCCCAGCTAGGTGGAGGGAGGGCAAATTTACTCTTCCCAAATTCCTTGCCGAAGACTGTTGGCGATGATGCAACAAATCTTATGTGCAGCACCCCTTGGGCAACCTGGAGTTAAAAATAACTTTCCCTTGTGTGGTGGGAGGCAGCAGAGATGGGATAATTTTAACTCATAGCTGTTACATCTTGTTCTGAGCCTTAATGAAGAAATCATGAAGTCCTACTCACTTTGGAACTTTTTGCTCCTAGTGATGAGGGTGGTGAATGCTGCATTAGCATTAAGTGACCCCTTCCTGCCGCATTTTCTGGATGAAGTGCAGGGATTTCCTAGTTAAACAGAGAATGATTTCACCACCAGGAAATCACACAGCTTTGGGAGAGCTGGTCCCAAGCCCGTGCCTCAGCTCCCACATCCTGGAGAGGTCTGGACCAGGCTCTCTCGCAGGTCTCAGCCCCGTGTGTCTGGCTGAGAGTCAGAGTCCTGGGCTGGCAGTTCGGAAACAGGAAAGAGAAAAGGACCACTCCTGTTCAGGCAGCGTTAAATAGCTTGAGCACAGAGTGTCTGACCCAACTGAACTACATAGAACAGTTAGGTAGCTACTCAAATATATGAGTGGCTCAGCTGCTGAGCTGTAAAGTCAAACCCCTGTCTGTACTACAACCTGACTGAAGCCAAGGGGCCTTGCTGCGAAGTGCATGTGCAGCTGCTGCACTTTGTGGACTGTGGATTTGAAAAGAAGGTGTCTTCGCAGCAAACAAGAAGGGAATCAGAAGCACAGCTCACAGATCTGATGATGCCTCCCTGGGGAGATACCACTCAGGAGCTTGCACTCATTTCTCTTCCCTCTTTACCAGCAGTGATGTAAGGCTTGCTGTGCAGCCTTGGGGTGCTACAGCTTTGGGATGCTGCATGGGGAAGGACCCTTTCTGGTTCTTCCCCATGCAAGATGAAGCATTGGTCTGTTACCACCAGAGGAGTGGGCAGCAAGTTCTTCCTCACTGTGCACAAGTGCAAGAAGCAGGAGCTGCTGCTGTGGTGAGGATCAGACTGTGCACCAGTCACATGGGACAGCAGGTAGCAGTGGCAGTGCCACCCCCTGCTCATCACCTGGGCATCACAACCTTTGCTGGGTGGTGGGTGAAAGGGATGCTGTGAATGTGCCCAAATTCTGGCAGTCAGCTGGGGTGGCACATGCTGGGTCAGATACCCTGCCATCACCGCCTGCCAGCAGTGGGGAGGGTGGCGATGGCAGGCACGGGACTTCCAGCTTGATCTGTGTTACTGGAGACTTCCACTCACTGCCATGGAGAGCGGGACATGCAGTGGCATAGACGTTGTCCTGCAGCTCCCCTGCAGTGGGTGAGGGACAGGCGGAGGTAGTCATCACCACCTTCTGCCTTCCAAAGGGCTGCAGGACTTCAGGATCACCTGGAAAACTGCAGACCAGGCTGCTCTGCTCCCATAGCCAGAAGGCAGCTCACTGCGGGCTAGAGGAAGCACAGGGGTTGAGGAATCTGGCTACGATGTAGGCTGCTATCTTAAAATAACTGTTGCTAACAGTGTTTTGTTTCCTACTAAGTGTAGTTATTCGAAGATGCCTTTTTGTCAGCATCTGTCCCTGACCACAAATAAGTTTGTTGTTCTGGGTCTCTACCACTATATTTTTTATTATTATTATACCACTATAATTAACTGGAAGAAGGACTGGATCTGGCAGCAGGGTCCTCTGATCATCCTTTCCCCATCTTTCCCTAGCACAAGCTTGTGTAATGATTTGTGGGATGTAGGACATCCTTATCAGAAAAGCCTGGGAGACCTGTCCTTGCCTCCCACATGAGTCATGGGGAAACAAAACTCTCCCAAAGCAGGGATGCTCTGGTTTCACAGCCATGCAGCCAGCAGGTCATTCACACACAAACCACTTGGGATCTGACTGGTGCTGAGGAGCTGTGCCCTGGGATCCATGGCCTCACTGCAACTGCCCCAGTCCCTTGGTGGGGACTTCTGCCCATCCTCCCTTTGCAATTCTGACAAGCTTCAACATGCTGGTTCTTAGGGTATTTGCTCCCCTCACTGCTTAGCTCTCCACCAGCATACTGGGCTGGGCACTGATGAGGGGTCATGCCTTTCCCAAGGGAAGAAAGGATATAGATGACTACAATCCCCTTCCCAGGGGATAATAAATACCTACCTTGTGCAGGTATTTATCCTCAAGCACAGCATTACTGTATTTTCCAGCCAGAATCACGTGTTGGGAAGTAACAGCAGGCTTCTATCCCCTCTGAACACCAGACCCCCAGAAAGCTCCTTTCTTGAGCCAGGTGTGAAAGTGTTATTGTTCCAACCCTCATTTCTCCCTTGGCTGTGAATGTCAGAGCAGCAAGTAGGAAAGTGCAGTGATACCTGGCGTGATCACCGTGGTGGTATTTCTGTCTCGCCTGGAGCAAGACGGACCATAAATCTTGTGAGATAACATGTTGCCACAGAGACTTCCAGCCAGTTTTTCAGGCCTTAGGAGTTTGAATGCTGCTGATGAACCTGAACCAGCCCACTCAGGGCTGGGCACTGCTAGCACAGAAACCAGCAGGTTTCTGTTGTACCCATGAACACAGGGTGAGTATCTGCTGCTTAGGCTGTCATGAGATCTTGGGGGTATTGTGGGAAACCTCACCAGGAGCCAATCCACCTCACAGTGAAATTGGGGTATGGGTTATCATGTGACTGAGAGTATAACTGGTCTGAAGGAGAGACCAGGAAAAATTAGACTGATTCAACAGAAGCTTTGAGTTGTTGGTGCCACCTATAGATCTGCAATGAGTTGAAACCACCGAGTTACTCCCTGATGGATCATCAGGACTTGACCAGCCCCGGCTGGGATTCCCCTGCCCTGCCCATGGCCCAGGATCCCAGTTCAGCCCTGCCTGCCGCACCCTGGGGGGATGGAAGGTGCTGGTCTTTAGTGCTACTGGGCTGGACTCTCCCTTCCTCCAGTGGAGAGCCCCTAATCCTGCACCAGGCACAAACATCACTGGGGGCAAGGGCTGGCTCTGCTCTGATGGGGATACTCCTGCAGTCCTGTCGCTGGTTTTGCTCAACCCCCTGCGCTTGCGGATGGTGCTGGTGGTGCCGGGAGGTCACCCCCTCTCTCCTTGCCCCTGCTGCTGCTTCCCACTGCTGAGCAGCCCCAGCAGCCGGTGGCTGTGCCTGTGGCTGGGCGCTGCGTGCAGCAGAGGGTGCTGGATCAGCAGGAGCAGAGGGAGCCGCTTTCCTCTGGCTCACCAGCACTTTCCCAGAAGCTCCTCTGGATGCCACCCTGCCTCTCTGAGTCTCCTCTGCAGGGATTAGCTGTGCTCGGCACAGGAAGGAATCGCCCTCTGCCCCACGGAGGTGGGGGTTTGCGTTCCCTCTGCTGATGCTGTGGGCCAGCTCTGCCTCTCTGTGTTACAGGTTTTCTGTAGCACTGAATCCCTCAGTCCAGCTC